GTATATCAATTGGATTTTGTTCCTTGTTATTTAACATTACAACTTGTTGTTCGATTATATTTATAGCTTCGTCAGGGACACTAGGATTTCTTACAACTGCCTAAAAACACATTACAATATATAGAAATAAAAATTATTATCATTTAATAACACGTCTTACTGTTTGTATATCAATTGGATTTTGTTCCTTGTTATCTAACATTACGGCTTGTTCTTCGATTATATTTATAGAATCGTCAGGGACACCAGGATTTCTTACAACTGACCAATAACACATTACAATATATATATATATAAATAGATATTAATAGCATTCAAAGAAATGTTCAATAACATGACATACTAGTTGTATATCAATTGAATATTGTTCCTCGATATATAACCCTACAGCTGGTTCTTCGATTGTATTTATAGCATCGTCAGGGACACCAGTATATCTTACAACTGCCTAAAAACACATTACAATATATATAAATAAATATTAATAGCATTCAATAAAATGTCTTACTGGTTGTATATCAATTGGATTTTGTTCCTCGATATCTAACCCTACAGCTTGTTCTTCGATTATATTTATAGCATCGTCAGGGACACCAGGATTTCTGACATGTCTACATACTTCTTTCGAACAATCCAAACCTAGAGGTTTTCGTGCAAACGTGAAATGATGTATTTTTAAACGGGATCTAGGGTCTAAGTATTCATGGACTTTCCGTGTCGATCGTAGTTTCTTGTTATCTTGCGCACGGTAATATATATCAATTCCAGTACCTTTGGCTCTATGCACTACCTTTCTTTTCCAACCTAAAGAATAACAACTTATAAGTGTAATACAATGTTTAAGTTGGGAAAATGTAGTGCAGAGACATGAGATCTCGAAAGACCCGTTCTTACAATGTCTGTTCAGCATTAATATAAAACCAGTAGTTAAATTTGTGTTTAAGCATGATTTCACATTCAGCACAATTCAACAACTCATAGTACATTAGTTTTAATGAAATCCGAAACTAAAAATAAAAAGTAGATAATAAAAATAATTGGATGAGAATGTGACGAGATCGTTTAAAATCCAAATATAAAAACTATAAACAATAAAATACACATACCATATCTAAACAGCCTATTGAAAATTGAATTCATTAAACTTGTTTAATAACAATAACAACGGTGATTCGTAGAAGTAGATGATAATGTTAATTCTTCAAATATAAAACTGTAAAATTCAATTTACATATAAATATCAGTTTTTTTTTCACAAAATATTTATTTTGTTAATAAAAATTTAAAGTATAGGCCACTATTGAAATATTTTTAGTTACATTGTAAATATGAGCTAAATATAAAAATATACGTTAACCACATTAGGATTTCAGCTTTGGTAATTTATCATTTACAGTTATAAAGCTCTAAGTTAATCCCAAAAATACACAATGAATTAAAAAATTTCTGATCAATAGACAATATTTGGTGGTACATTTAAAATCATTCTCATTTTTAATTTCTAAGTCGTGATAACATTTATTTACTTCCTTTAACTACCTCCACACACCGATATCCTGACGATCGTGGAAAATAATTAAATAACAACGTAAATAAAAGCTATTTTGATAAATAACAATATGATCTCTCCCCTTACGGGCAACACTGTTATGACTTGTCCCCTAACGAATTTAGAATAGACATGAAATACCAGAAAATGTTCCTGATATTTAGGAGATAAGAATGATTGACTGTGTTGCTCGAATAAAATTTAAACTAAATAACTACCGATCGACCGACCTCGCGAGATTTGTTTTGCATGTTGTAGAAGAACAATGCTATTGTGATATAACGATGATATAAATAAACTAATTTGTTTTTTTAGCATACGGCCACCGTTACAAACAAAATAACCAAAGGAAATAATGTTTCGAATAAAATCTAAGATAAACTTTTGCATATTATTCAGGCTGTAATTATACAATTAATATTTGGGAGTTGATATGAAAAAAAGTACCACGACAGTCAGATTTACTTTCAGAGAAAATATAACCATAGAAAACCAGAGCAAAATTATATATATATATATTGCTTTATATATAGACATATAAAATGTTTACTACTTTTATATATATATTTTTATGATCTAAATAATTCAATTCATTATGAAGCGATCAAGCAGGTGTTAGCAGGAAAGCTATTGTTCTTCTTTCGTTGCTATATCATTCATAAAGTCTATGATGATTTGGTTTTCTTCATTTGTTTCCTTTCTAAAGTGATATCGCCGACCGTTACACTCATGAAACATGGTTGTTTCAGATGAAATACTTTTATATAATTTGAAAGTATGATCAGTACTTGTGGGACAGGATTCTACATTATTTTCATTTTATTCTTCAATATTAAACTTTATAGTTTGTTCTCCGATTTTATTTTTATCGATAGCAGCACCATTATGATTATTTACAATTTCCTAAAAACACATTACAATATATAAAGCCAAAAATTATCAACATTCAATAAAATTTTTAACAAAATGTCTTACTGATTGTACATTAATACAATTTTCTTCCTTATTATTTAACTACACAGTTTGTTTATATGTTTTAAATGATCTAAATAATGAAATTATTTTTGAAGCGTTTTTGCATGTAATAGCTATTGATGACTTCTTTAGTCCCATCATTTGTGAAAGTTTCATTATCCGAATAAAACCATGTAGCATTATGATTTTTCATTATAAAATCATTTATAAAGGCTATGGTTGCCTGGTTGTCTATATCTGATCCCTTTTTAAACTGAAATCTACGACCTTTACACTCATGGAACATAGTTGTTTCAGATGAACTATTTTCATCCGATTCTGGAGATTTGCAGTACTTGTGGGACAGGGTTCTACATTATTATCATTTTTTTCTTCAACATCAAACTCCATGGATTTTTCATCGATTTTATTTTTATCGATAGCAGCACTATCACAACTATTTACAACTTTCTAAAACCGTATTGAAATATAAATTATTGAAAATTATATCATTTAATAAGATGTTCAGTAATAAATCTTACTGATTGTACATTTTTGGACTTTTCTTCAGCAATATCAATCTCCATAGTTTTTCTTCGATTTTATTATTATCGATGGCAGCACTATCACAACTATTTACAACTTTCTAAAACCGTATTGAAATATAAATTATTGAAAATTATATCATTNAAAAACACATTACAACATATATAAATAAATATTAATAGCATTCAATAAAAAGTTCAATAAAATGTCTTACTGGTTGTATATCAATTGGATTTTGTTCCTCGATATCTAACCCTACAGTTTGTTCTTCGATTATATTTATAGCATCGTCAGGGACACCAGGATTTCTGACATGTCTACATACTTCTTTCGAACAATCCAAACCTAGAGGTTTTCGTGCAAACGTGAAATGATGTATTTTTAAACGGGATCTAGGGTCTAAGTATTCATGGACTTTCCGTGTCGATCGTAGTTTCTTGTTATCTTGCGCACGGTAATATATATCAATTCCAGTACCTTTGGCTCTATGCACTACCTTTCTTTTCCAACCTAAAGAATAACAACTTATAAGTGTAATACAATGTTTGAGTTGGGAAAATGTAGTGCAGAGACATGAGATCTCGAAAGACCCGTTCTTACAATGTCTGTTCAGCATTAATATAAAACCAGTAGTTAAATTTGTGTTTAAGCATGATTTCACATTCAGCACAATTCAACAACTCATAGTACATTAGTTTTAATGAAATCCGAAACTAAAAATAAAAAGTAGATAATAAAAATAATTGGATGAGAATGTGACGAGATCGTTTAAAATCCAAATATAAAAACTATAAACAATAAAATACACATACCATATCTAAACAGCCTATTGAAAATTGAATTCATTAAACTTGTTTAATAGCAATAACAACGGTGATTCGTAGAAGTAGATGATAATGTTAATTCTTCAAATATAAAACTGTAAAATTCAATTTACATATAAATATCAGTTTTTTTTTTCACAAAATGTTTATTTTGTTAATAAAAATTAAAAGTATATGCCACCATTGTAATATTTTAAGTTACATTGTAAATATGAACTAAATATAATAATATACGTTAACCACATTAGGATTTCAGCTTTGGTAATTTATCATTTACAGTTATAAAGCTCTAAGTTAATCCCAAAAATACACAATGAATTAAAAAATTTCTGATCAATAGACAATATTTGGTGGTACATTTAAAATCATTCTCATTTTTAATTTCTAAGTCGTGATAACATTTATTTACTTCCTTTAACTACCTCCACACAAAGATATCCTGACGATCGTGGAAAATAATTAAATAACAAAGTAAATAAAAGCTATTTTGATAAATAATAATATGATCTGTCCCCTTACGGGCAACACTGTTATGACTTGTCCCCTAACGAATTTAGAAAAAACATGTTAACATATGATTGCATGTTAATTACGGCGTGATCAAATTCGGCCTGAAATATCTTATAAATTTAACACTTAAACTCAAATGACAAAAATTAATTTGTTTCCTTTTATATGAACTTAGTTCAAATATATAAGTTCATATCAAACTTTCGCGTCATAGGGAATTTAATAGATCACCTTTTAAATAAATAATTAATTATTCGATTAGGTAATAGGAAAAAAATATTACCATATATACCAATATATTAATATTAATATGTTTATATATATTTGTTTACATTTGAGTTTAAGAGATAGTGTTGTTATCTATATTCTTATTGATAATAATATTATTCGTACCTATAACCTTAAAATATATATTATGACTATTTTTCTTTGTTAAAATATTAAAACTACTTTTGTTGCAGAATCATGCATAATTGTCGTGTTTCTTTGTGAATTTTTCTCTCAGTTAATTTATGTGTTCTATAGTTATCCAACAATAAATACGAAAGTTTAAATTATTAAAAAGGTTTGAATTATTATAATCTACCCATACAAATGCTTAAACTATTACTATATTCTAAATGTATTTAAATTATTGTCACAAATTCGGTACCTGTTTGTGCAGCATTAAAACTCCGCTCGCCGTACCACTACACAAAATTCGATTCTCAACAACTCTCCCTCCAACCGAATCATATTGACCGTCGTTTTATTTTAACTCTAATCCTGGAAACAAGATTGTCAATAATGTACCAATTGAATTTTAAAATAATAATTATATACTCTACTAAACAAAGTTAATATAGTATCGGTATCTAGGTAGGTACTATCTCAAACATCCCATTACAATTAATTTACAATTATTTTATGATCAAAAAATAAATTAATACTATACTATTCATTTATATGAGTATATATATTTATATATATTATATTTATATTAATTTATATATTTATGAGTAAACATTAGTCATGAATCATTAGAAATAAAATTTATTTTTTTTATTTTTATATTTAAATAAATCTAGCATACCAAATTGTCGCGTCATAGTAAATTTATTAAAACACCTTTCAAAAAAATAGTTAACTATTTGATTAGGCATTTACAAAATATTTAGGTATGTAATAGAAAAAATATTACCATATGATATTAAAAAAATGTCTGTTATAATAGAAAAATCTGAATAATCTGAAAAATAATAGGTTCAACATGCATTGCTAAATTTAAAGTTCTATTATTTATAACTACATAATATTTAAGTAAATAGTAGAGTAGTTCAGAGTATACGCTCAGAGTAGTTTGGAGAATGAGTCCGAGAATAATATAGTGCGACGAAGATAGAAACATTACAATATAGATAAAACCTTCACGGTTTATCGTCACGATGGCCGGGGTAGATATACATGGTGTTCAAGAGAGAGGGGTAAAAACAAAGACAAGCATCCACTACCATCATAAATGCTTAACATTAAAATGGAGGAGAAATTCGATTATATATTATAGCGACGGAGGTCTGCTGTTCACGGGTGATTCGATTTCTTTTTTTTTTCTATATAATCGTTATATTATCAGTTATCTTTGACGCGCTGCCGTTTACCTAAATTCTCAGTATTATATTATTAAAAGAATACGTGTGTTAGTTGCATTGTCGGTGATGCGAGCCTTCCTCCCCTATGTCCGCAGACGCCACAAAAACGTACTAGCGATAAACTGTGTGTTGTCTCTATACAGATTTTTAGAATCCCGGCTTTCGTCCAACCGAAGGCCAAAACGTGTTTATTTTCTTTTTCAGGAGATAAAAATTTATATACCATGTGCAGGTATATTGACACCATTAGTATATATCAAAAACAATGTATACGCATGTGTTATTATTTTTCTATGCGACCGGCCTACGCCGATTTTTTTGAATTACACAGCCATCTGCTGCAGGCTCCGTATATAATAAAACGCGTTTAAGGTATGTATTAGGTTGGCATGTCCTACAGGCAGGAAGATTTATCATATTATAACAAAGAAAATCAGAGAGCATATGGATTTTTTAAAACCAACCCTCGATTCNAAGAAAGCGTACCGAGTATTTTTCTTTTAAATACTTGTCACTGTTACCGAGACGTGATTGTAATAATTGAAATTCGGCGCCGTCGTGTCGTCGTTATGCTATAATCCGATAATCAATATTTGTGTCAACCGTATCGACAAAAAAAAAAATAAATATAATATTTATATTATATTACATAGAATATTTATTTTGACAATGGAGCCAATATAGCACACTTGTACGGTTTCTAAAATTTCTGAAAAACGTGTTCTAAATAATACAAACATAATATAACAATATCGGTTTGTAATAACTTTAACCAAATATTTTATTATAAAGAAAGTTTAGTGTGGAAGTCGTATTAAATGTGTCGTCCAAAGATAAACGAAGTGCAATTAATGCTCGCCCAAACTTCATGTATATAGATAATAAATGCTAAGTCTGTACTCAATATATTAATTAAACAGATTTATCACTCGTTCTTGATGCGTCCGCTCCAACCACTCCCAAAATCCCTTTTGTCCGATGAAGTGGCCTAACAGCCGACCACGACTGTAATAATAAATTTAAAAAATTGGAGAGGTTAGAATTAGACGAAAATTTATTGTGTATCTGCATTCAAAGATTAATAATTGCCAAAGAAAAAACGAATCTGATTGAAATTCAGTTTACAGTTAATACCTTGGCAATAGTACAATAATTATATCGTATTATTGTAAAATAATTACATAATACGCTTTAAACATTTTCTTTAGTAATATTTGTTTAATATTCTACCCATATTCTTGTTCTTCCCGGTTTTTCCCGTCTATTGAGAATTCTCTTGGTAAAATCAAAGAATAGCCTTCCTTAAGTACCTCCCGAATAAAAATTTCTTTCGGGAAAAGTGCTACACTCATAAATCGGAGCAATATTTCTGGTAGAAAAGTAGTTTACAGACAAGACAATATAAAATTAAATATACATTCAAATAAACCATATGGATCTTCGCTCCACTCAGAATCTTAAATTTAAGAATCCCGAAAGAAAAGTTCCGATTTTGTTTTTTTGTTAGACAGGTAATCGTGCAAATTGTTCACGTCGTGAGCAAAAATTCCAAAAATACAAATTTTTTATTTCACAATTTTTATTTATGCCTAATATATAAAAACTCCAAGTCAATGCCTAAAAAAAAAAAAGAGTTGATACTGAGAATGAGAGCGGCCGCTGTTGTATGTGAGAAGTTGGGTAGGTGGGATACATAAGGCTATTTCATTTATATAGGTAGCAATGATAAACCATTGACGAAACACGATTCCGCGCGCAAATTGGTGTTACATAATTTAAAATGCCGTAATTTTTTTTGCGATTTTCGTTTAAATTTGATTTCAAAACTCTTATTAAAAAAGAAAAGAAAGTCGTCCGATGATATTGGAAATTTATCCACGTTTAGGTAAGTCCAATATTAGTATCATCACAGAGTTTCATGTCATTACGTGTATTTATAACCTAATTACAGCAAAAAAATTATTTAGCGATATTACTGTAAGAAAGTAAATTAAAAAAGCAACAGAATAAGTGTACTATGATTTATTTATTTAATAACTATTTCTGGTAGAAAACGTCGTCGGTGTTTTTATAAAATAATGAAATCTTGAAATTGTACGTTTTCTTACGTGTTTTTCTACTTAAGTGCTTTTATTTAAAAAAATGGCGTTGAAAATCGATAAATGCTCAGTTTAAACAATACATTAAACTAAATTTACGACATACTAGTGACATAACACGTGAGATGTTGCTTTTCTCGTGTCTAATGTCTATATACTTATAAGCGTTTTTGAAGCTGAAATACAAGAAACACAATGATCAAATATTAACAATTAACAGAAGCGTACATTCTGTTTAAGTATCTATTAAAATGCGATAAAGAAAACTCGTGAGAGAGCAAGAAATTTACCGGGTCATTATCGAATAATACCTATAGGTACTTAGGTGATTACAAGTCCGAAACAACGAATATACTAATAAGAACACGAATGTATATTATTCGAATGCCCTACAAACTATGAAAAATAGTCTGTTTAGGTTCTAGAGTCCAAAAAATAATCCAAACATGTCTTTCCATCGCAGTAACGCCTTTGAATAAACCGTAAAAATACAAAAATATATTCCCACTTTAAGTACTACATAATATCTATCTTTATACATATATAAGTNCATATGGTTTTTTTAAAACCAACCCTCGATTCCAAGAAAGCGTACCGAGTATTTTTCTTTTAAATACTTGTCACTGTCACCGAGACGTGATTGTAATAATTGAAATTCGGCGCCGTCATGTCGTCGTTATGCTATAATTCGATAATCAATATTTGTGTCAACCGTATCGACAAAAAAAAAAATAAATATAATATTTATATTATATTACATAGAATATTTATTTTGACAATGGAGCCAATATAGCACACTTGTACGGTTTCTAAAATTTCTGAAAAACTTGTTGTTAATAATACAAACATAATATAACGATATCGGTTTGTAATAACTTTAACCAAATATTTTATTATAAAGAAAGTTTAGTGTGGAAGTCGTATTAAATGTGTCGTCCAAAGATAAACGAAGTGCAATTAATGCTCGCCCAAACTTCATGTATATAGATAATAAATGCTAAGTCTGTACTCAATATATTAATTAAACAGATTTATCACTCGTTCTTGATGCGTCCGCTCCAACCACTCCCAAAATCCCTTTTGTCCGATGAAGTGGCCTAACAGCCGACCACGACTGTAATAATAAATTTAAAAAATTGGAGAGGTTAGAATTAGACGAAAATTTATTGTGTATCTGCATTCAAAGATTAATAATTGCCAAAGAAAAAACGAATCTGATTGAAATTCAGTTTACAGTTAATACCTTGGCAATAGTACAATAATTATATCGTATTATTGTAAAATAATTACATAATACGCTTTAAACATTTTCTTTAGTAATATTTGTTTAATATTCTACCCATATTCTTGTTCTTCCAGGATTTTCCCGTCTATTGAGGAATCTCTTGGTAAAATCAAAGAATAGCCTTCTTTAAGTACCTCCCCAATAAAAATTTTTTTCGGGAAAAGTGCTACACTCATAAATCGGAGCAATACTTCTGGTAGAAAAGTGGTTTACAGACAAGACAATATAAAATTAAATATACATTATAGTAAACCATATGGATCTTCGCTTCACTCAGAATCTTAAATTTAAGAATCCCGAAAAAAAAGTTCCGATTTTGTTTTATTGTTAGACAGGTGATCGTGCAAATTTTTCAAGTCGTGAGCAAAAATTCCAAAAATACAAATTTTTCATTTCACAATATTTATTTATGCCTAATATATAAAAACTCCAAGTCAATGCCCAAAAAAAAAAAAAGAAAAAGAGAGGTGATACTGAGAATGAAAGCGGCCACTGTTGTATGTGAGAAGTTGGGTAGGTGGGACACATAAGGCTATTTCATTTATATAGGTAAGCAATGATAAACCATTGACGAAAGACGAGCGCAGGTCGGTGTTTCATAATTTCAAATTCCATAATTTTTTTTCGATTTTCGTTTGAATTTGATTTCAAAGCTCTTATTAAAAAAGAAAAGAAAATCGTCTAATAATATTGGAAATTTATCCACGTTTAGGTAAGTCCAATATTAGTATCATCACAGAGTTTCAAGTCACTACGTGTATTTATAACCTAATTACAGCAAAAAAATTTCCAAAACTTAAAACTCCTTAAAAACTCAAAAGTTTTTGCGATAATACCGTAAGAAAGTAAATTAGAAAAGGCAACAGAATAGGTGTCCTGTGATTTTTTTATTTAATAACTATTTCTGTTAGAAAACGTCGTTTGTGTTTTATAAAATAATAAAATCTTGAAATTGTACGTTTTCTTACGTGTTTTTCTACTTAAGTGCTTTTATTTAAAAAAATGGCGTTGAAAATCGAAAAATGCTCAGTTTAAACGATACATTAAACTAAATTTACGACATACTAGTGACATAACACGTGAGATGTTGCTTTTCTCGTGTCTAATGTCTATATACTTATAAGCGTTTTTGAAGCTGAAATACAAGAAACACAATGATCAAATATTAACAATTAACAGAGGCGTACATTCTGTTTAAGTATCTATTAAAATGCGATAAAGAAAACTCGTGAGAGAGCAAGAAATTTACCGGTTCATTATCGAATAATACCTATAGGTACTTAGGTGATTACAAGTCCGAAACAACGAATATACTAATAAGAACACGAATGTATATTATTCGAATGCCCTACAAACTATGAAAAATAGTCTGTTTAGGTTCTAGAGTCCAAAAAATAATCCAAACATGTCTTTCCATCGCAGTAACGCCTTTGAATAAACCGTAAAAATACAAAAATATATTCCCACTTTAAGTACTACATAATATCTATCTTTATACATATATAAGTGTAGAAATGAGAATCTTTGAAGCTAAAGATTTCAAGAACCACTCAATCGATCGACGAGTTTTTTTTTCATTTTTTTCCAAATGAAAGAGCACACTGCAAGGAAGGTTTTTAGCATATATTTCAAGTCTCCGAGTAAATAAACAAACGAGCTATTAATTTTATAAATAATCGTCAAGTATGCTAGAACTGTGCCGCTATTTAAATATTCTAAAAATACAGCACAGTGCCATTTACGGTATATTCCTGCCTATCAAACATGATAATTATTTTTTTGCTTTGTTTTATTAGTTTTTGAGAATCTGAGCGACACGAGGAATGCATACTTTTTACAATATTTAATTTTTTTTTTCAGATTCTAAGCGAAGAAGCTTATGGTTTTACAATGGTAATTATTTTGTATGTGTTTTTTTTATCTGTGCGCAACTTTTTGACCAGAAACCTTGCTCCGATTTTAAGTCTAGTTACTTTTTTAAAATAAAATTGGACTGGCGAAGTGTATTAAGTTGGTCATTTTTCGATCTTCTCGAGAGTTTTCTCATCGAATGTGAAAAACCGGAAATATAACTTAAGAAAACCGGGAAAACGGAAATATCAGTGCATTAAACAAATTTTATTAAAGGAGCGAGGGAAAACGGGAAAGTGTACGAAATAAATTAGTAAAATATTACGATTTTTTTTTCTTTGCATAACTTTTCTATCACCAATTTTGATCCGATTNTAAATTATCTATAACAGTGACCGGTTTCGAATTAAAATTTCATCATCAAGTAAATCACACTCAATATGTAAATCGCGACTGAATATAAAATAATTAAATTAATTAATACATAGGAAAAAAAGTATATAATATGATCGTTTTACATAGATTATAGAAATAATTGAGTTTGACACAAGATATTTTTTAAAATAGGTTGGAGATAGATAAATTAAGAAATTTAAATTATTTGGTTATTATTTATTATATATATTTATTTTAGATTATAAATAATAACCCGATAACTTATTTTTCGAATGTAGCGAGGGAAAACGGGAAAGTGTACGAAATAAATTAGTAAAATATTACGATTTTTTTTTCTTTGCATAACTTTTCTATCACCAATTTTGATCCGATTTACAATGATAGCACTTTTAAATATAAATATGTTTTCAGTATTACTAACAAAACAAAATTTATTACCTTGATATTGAACATCATTTTGCATTCTGATTAGTTGATCTCTATCGTCTTTCTTTACAGGATTTTGGTATGTTTGGAAAGTTTTTTGTCAGGCTTCGCACATTAATCCTCGTAATAATGTCATATCATTTGTATATATTTGTATATTCATACCATCATTCTGTTTATTTTATTAATTTATCATTTCAATCTGTATTGTAATAAAGTACAGAGAGATTTGCAAATAATATTTACAAGTATTTCAAGTAGTATACCTAGTTATTATTTTAAATTGTAGAATTGAAACTACCGGACAACACAAACGGAAAGTAGAAAAAAAAAAATAATCTGGTTTTCTAAGAAAACGTTGATGTCTACACGTCGCTGACGCGGCCCGGTGGGGCTCTTTATTGTTCTTGTTTTTCGTTATACATTTAATAATTTATGGTTTTCAAAAAGAATCGGACGTTTTTATAACGAAGAAAGGTTCAAGGGGAAAAAAAATATGCCGCCTTCGACAACGTATATATCATGCTCCCCGCGGAGCTGGTGACCCGTCCTATAACTATCGAAAAAATGTCCTTATGCGACGTATTTTATTATTGCATACTCACCCTCTTCTAATAATTTCGGACAATTCTCAAGCCATAATTTGATGTAGGATATTCTTAATTACCTTTGTGCAAGTTCATGCAGTACAATATGAAAGGAATCACTTTATATACGGAAATAATAAATTAAAAAACTTGTTTTCATCATTCCATAAATCATTAAATAATTTGTTAAATATGCCCTCTCCTGGTATAGATAGGATGTAGTTTGCTTATTTGATATTTCCTAATAATGGGCGTAATTTATTATTTGTTTGGTTAAAAGAAAAATTCTTTTAGACAAAAATAATTATACATTTTATAAGAAACACACCGCTACAACAGATGTGTGATACGTGGATGTGCGTAAATAATATGTGCCGTGCTAAGGAAGAAAATTTGTATTCATTATATTTTCGTATTTGTGCAGTAGGGATTTACAAGGCATATGTGTATTTTATTAATTTCAGAACTAACGTTCTACATTAAATTTTTTTTTTTTTTTGTATAGGAACACTTGGAACTATCGTATTAGTATTATACTCGTAGTTGTAAGATATATTCGCTTTAACTATCGGACACTCTCGAAAATCTATTAAACGAAATTATACTGAAACGGACCCCTATTGTAAAATAAAAACGAAAAAAATTAAAATCCCTGACTCCGTAGTGGTGTCGTGGATAACAATAATATAGAAAATGCCAACGTGTATTGAATTTTTCACATGGTTTGAATAACACACCTATTAAATTTTGAACGCGTTAAAGAAGCTATAAATTATATAGTTTTTCTATAGATGTGTGTTTTTTTTTTTCGAATTGAAATAATGGCTTGCCGGTTTCCCAGCGATTCAAAGAAATCCTACTTACAGGTACACAATGATAGCATTTACAGTTTATACCCAACCTAACCTAACCTTTTTTTTTTTTGTGGTATCGCGGCAGGAGGGGGCCCTGCTTAACGCATTACTGCCCCTCCAGCCGCATCGTTTATTAAAACAAATCAACATACAAACAAAAATTTAGATATATACAAGTAAATCGAAAAATCCCGTAACCCCCTTACGCGGGGGGGGGGGGCTCACAGTATTAGAAAAGAAAAGCATATGATACAAATATATATATATATATATACAATTGGTAATCGAGCGCCTTCGTCCTCTTCTCGAGCCGTCAACCGACCGCCGCTCTAGAACACTCGTTCTGGCCTCCTCCTCCTCCTTTCAGCCCGTTGACGATCCCGCTCGAGCACCTCCTTCCTGCCCAGGGCCGCTTCGACGAACGTCTGGAAGGCGTCCGTCACGGACTGGGCGGCTGCCAAAATCCTTTTCGTCCTCCCGGGATCATCTTCGGGCAGCAGAGCCGGATCGGGACCGCACACCATTTCAGTCATATCGGCGACACCGAAGGTCCCGACCCGGGCGGACCGCGCCAGGACGGACCTTTCCTGCTCCCAGAACGCGCACTCCAGCAGAGTGTGCTCCACGGTGTCTTCCGCTCCCACACCGCACAACAGACACAAGGGGGTAGCCGCTCTGCCCCTGCGGTGCAGGTAGTCTTGGAAACAACCGTGTCCCGTCAGCGCCTGGGTCAGGTGGAATGTCAGCCGGACGACGACTGTTCGACCGAGCCACCTGCCCAAGTCGGGGATGAGCCGTCTCGTCCACTCCGCCTTCGTGCACGTCCTCCATCTCTCCTTCCATGCCGCAATCGTTGCCGCCGCCTCCGCCTTCTTCACCTCCAGCCTGGTACGCGTCTCGCGCTCTTCGCGGCACGCCGAGGCCACCCTGCACCGCTCCAGCGCCAGAAGGTCCATGGGCGGCCACTCCGCCAGCACGCAAGCGGCAGCGTCCGACACCGTCCGGTACGCCCTGATGATGCGGAGGGCCACTCTCCTCTGCTCCCTGCAGAGCGCGTCCCGGTTTTTGGCGGCGAGCATGACCTTCGGTGCCCAGACCGGGGCCGCGTAAAGCGCCTTGCTTTGGACGACGGAGGAGAGCAGTCGCCGCTTGCTCCAGCAAGCGGCAGCGTCCGACACCGTCCGGTACGCCCTGATGATGCGGAGGGCCACTCTCCTCTGCTCCCTGCAGAGTGCGTCCCGGTTTTTGGCAGCGAGCATGGCCTTCGGTGCCCAGACCGGGGCCGCGTATAGCGCCTTGCTTTGGACGACGGAGGAGAGCAGTCGTCGCTTGCTCCAGCCGGGACCGCCCACGTTCGGCATCAGCCTCGAGATGGCCCTCGCCGACCCCGCGGCGGCCAAAGCGGCCCGTGCGGTATGCGGCGCGAACGTCATTCTTCTGTCCAGCGTCACGCCGAGGTACCGCAGGGAATCCTTCGCCTCGATTCTTTGGCCGCCGATCTCCAGGGCGGGCATCACGAACTTCCGCCTTCCGGACAGGACGACGGCTTCCGATTTGTGCACCGCCAACTCCAAACCGTTGGACGCCATCCATCCTGCGACCGCTTCCAGCGCCGGGTTGAGGATTTCCTCCAGCAGAGCCCCTGAGTTTGCAGTGCCGAGCACCGCCACGTCGTCGGCGAACGCGACCAGCCGCGCGCCGGCCGGCATCCGCGTCTCCAGCAGCCCGTCGTAAAATACGTTCCACAGGACTGGTCCTAGTACCGACTCCTGCGGAACGCCGCAAGTCACCGGCCTGGGTTCGGAGATGGTGGGCACCAAAAGGGAGCGGTCCGAGAGGTAAGATCTTAATATCCCGGACAGGTAGCCCGGGATCCTCTTTTTGCCGAGAACTGCGTCGATCCGCTCCCACGGCGCGGTATTGAATGCGTTTCGGACGTCGAGCGAGACGACGACGCACAAGTCTCGCTCCCGCGCCGCTGCCCTCGCCGTCTCTAGTACGGCCCGATGGCGTCTTCTGTCGATCTCCCTCGACGGAAGCCGTACTGGTTCTCGGCCCAGCCGCCGTCCACGCTGGCCAAATGTTGATTTAGCCGCGAACCTAACCTAACCTACAGTATATTATTCGAAAATATCATAGGAATATGAAGACACCGCATGTCGTTCGAATTTTCAAATATTACAATATGTTTTATTACATTATTCACGTATAAATCCGAATGTTTATAACAACATGGGTACCTTCTTTTGACGGTATCGAGACGGTACAGTCAAATGAATGGACATTGTCACTGTGCGGTCGGTCGTAGGTTAGATTTTAATATTATAATTGTCGCCATTAATGATATGACATTTTAAATATACGTATACACGTTTATATTGTAAAAGAAATTCCGGACTTGATGTTGTCGTGATCGGTGCCGTTTTTGTAATGGTTCCGAACGAAAATCGGGAACAGTAAGCCGCCATTGACGACACCGCGGTCGTTGTTATCTGCATTACGAAAAAAAAAATAAAAACGCCGTAAAATGTATTGTGATCTAGTCGGCAAAATACTATAGAACCAAACTATATTATAAAAGCAAACATTGTACTGGTAGTTAAAAATCGGAAAAAATTATTTCACTGGAAAATATTGCATCTGATGAAAAAATAGTTGTCTTCGCGTGGGTCGATGTATTATTGTGTAATTTATAAAATAAATATAAATAGGTATTATATTGTTTTCTTTAAAATGTTGATAATAATTATTATTTTTTTTTGTTAATTAACCACATGTATATAAAGTTCGCTATTGTTAATTTATTAATTACGAGAATTGTCCCAAAAGTAATGCACAGCGCACTCTAGCTGTCTTGCAATGTGATATTATCAGCTGATTTTAGTATCAGTTTGTAGCTTGAAGTCTAACGAACACGTGCGTTTTCAGTTTTAGTTGTTTTAGTAAAGTATGATGATGTGTGAGAGCGATAACGAAAGTGAGAACAATTCGTCGGCTCACATTTCTATTTTTGAGCAACGCGCATACATTAAAATCGAAACGATTCGTGGTAAAACAGTGCCTGAAATTCATGCCATGTTAAATGAAGTGTGTGGAACGGATACTGTGGATCGTAGTACGGTGCAAAGATGGCATCAGCGATTCCGTGATGGTCGTATAAGTATTGATAACAACCCTCGCTCTGGCCGACCCTCTACGGTTACTCAAGACAACACTAACGCGGCTATTCTCGCAACTCTACTCGATGAAGACCGACGAATAACGGTGAGAGAGATAGAGAATGAAACAGGTATTTCAAAATCAAGTGTTCACCGCATTTTAACGGAAATTCTACAGAAACGAAAGATTGCAGCACGTTGGGTGCCGCATTTTCTGTCACCGGAACAGAAGGATACACGCAAAGACATCTGCGGTGAACTCCTTTCTCGCTACGAAAATGAAAAAGAAACGTTTCTTGATCGTATAATTGCAATAGATGAGACTTGGATCCGTGNGTACGGTGCAAAGATGGCATCAGCGATTCCGTGATGGTCGTATAAGTATTGATAACAACCCAGCAAACAAAGGTGAAACAAATGATGATTTTTGCTTACGATAAACTTGGGATAATTGTCACTGATCGAGTTCCAATTGGCAGTAGTGTAACCGGGGATTACTACAAAACATTCCTTGCCAAAAAATTGCGACCAGAAATCCGTAAAAAGCGACCAGGAATGTTACAAAATGGTGTGTCCATATTGCACGATAATGCGCGGCCGCATATCGGAGCACCAGTCGTCGCTCTTTTGGAGAAATATGGATGGGAACGCCTCAAACACCCACCGTATTCGCCGGATTTAAGTCCCCCGGACTTTGATTTATTTCCAAAACTGAAGGAACCACTTAGAGGGATCCGTTTTCCCAACTAAGATATACTAAATGAAGAAGTGAGCCGAAGGATCCGTGAACTCAACAAAGATGGCGTCCTATGCGGCATTCAAGCGCTTCCGAAACGATGGCAATCGTGTATAGACAAGCAGGGAAATTATATCGAAGGTCTATAATATTGTATTTAGTTTAAAATAAAAACTTATTTATTCAGAGCAATTTGTGCATTACTTTTGGGACAACCCTCGTATATTATAAAAATTTGTGTTTAAAAGGGTCTTGTCTATTATTATATGTTACATAGTAAAAAAAATTAAAAGTAAAATTAAGTTTTATATAATAGAGAACTTGATATATCATCAACTATATAGGTTCAGGTATCCCATATTCTAATCATTAATTATATCAATTAGATATTGCTATATAAACTACTTAAATTATTTTAGTAGGGAGGCACATTTTAAATACACAAATTATCTATCTTACTACTTTACAGTCATCTAGTGCTACATATACTATACATTTTATTTGTTTTTATAGTTATATCTTCTAATGACTTTTCTGTGTAAAAAAAACAAATAATATTTTACTAATACCAAAGTTACAAATAAAGATTAAGAGCATTCCTAGAATTGCCATAATATTATAATATTTAAACTAGTACTTGAATTGGGAGAGCAATTGGGGGTGCGGTGTTGATCAAATCGAAAAAAAAAATTAATAACTACATATATTTATATTGACATTTATACTGACATGTATTTTTTAAACAGTGTTTCCGGCTTTTTTATGGCATTGCTGCATTCCTCATTCTAACAGGGTTCTGCTAATATATATATATTATATTTAAAATAAAAAAACAAATACATAGTAAAATTGTACATACTTTATTTTTAATTAATCGCCTAACAATAAATTATTCCAAAATACAAATAAGGTCTACAATAGTAATTATCTAAACAATCGAAAGAGACTGTACTAACATGGATCACTGATGCACACAATTTATTTGTAAGAATAAATATTAAATAATGCGTGGAATATTTTTATTATGAACGGCTGATAAATTAATAATAGTGTTATATTATATAATTTATACTAACATGGTAACAAATATTATATGCAATTATGAGTTCAATATGAAAAAATAAAAATGCAAACATAAAATACATGTAAACACTATAAAAATTACTTATTAAACTAAGTAGAAAGTGACAAGAATATGTAATTTTTACAAATGACTTATCTCTTTATTTTGAAATTCTAAACTAATAGTTGGTTTGTGTGGTATTTCATTTGAATCTTCGGATGAGCATTTCTTCGGCCTAAAAATTGTTAAATAAATACCTAATTAGTAATAATTCATCCTACAGTAGAGAGTTACAAGTCTCTACTTAGTATATGATGACGATCTCACAATAATAATATTTTATAAAATTAATAATAATTTGGATAAAGGAAAACTAGAAAGAACAGTATACGTTATATTAGGTATGTAAAAATAAGGATTTACCCTCGCCCGAAAAGTAATCTTATCAAATTTCCAAATGGAGCTTCGACAACCAAGTATAATGACAGGGCCATTAAATAGGTTTTAAATACATCTTGTATCACTACCCTGATCTGAAAAATAAAAAATATTAAATTAAGATTAGTTTCACAACATGGACAGAGCAATTCTTATGTAAGTACTATTTATAAATTATAACATAATATTTATTTACTAAAATTTCTCACCATATTATCCATAGAAGCATAATTGGGTAATCTCTGTGTACTTTGTGACATCATCATTACAATAAGGTTGACCAAGAAAACAGAATATGATAGCCTTCCCAAAGGTATAATTAATCTATTGCTAAGTACTTTCATTAATAGACCTGTAAGAAACATAGAATAACATTATATTATAATAGAGGTATTTATTATTATAAGGTTTTATATTTATACAAAATAATTTAACTTTATATTCTGTAAATTTTATAATTTTATGAAATCTTTTTATAGTTGATTTGCATATGAAATTGTGAAGTGTGGTCATTCAGATTCAGGCCCTTATTTTTTTAAGATTTTTCTACAAATGTATCATGAATTAAATTTTTTGTCACATTCATTAACAAAACAATATTTTTTAACTTAACAAGTAATGTTTATTATATTAAATTATAATATCACTTTGAATTTTTTCAGGGAGCAAAACTGTATACAGAATGTAACGTAAGACACTCATTATCTTAGAAAATATTTTCAAAATTTACCTTTTAGAAAATTTAAAAACAAGCAACTCTATAATGTTTCATGACTATTATTCTTGGCATTGAAACCTACCCAATTGGTTTTTAAATAATAATCTACATTAAAAACTTGAAGCTTTAACTTCAAATTTTTTATTTTTAAACTTATAATAACCAATAAGTGTTGCATTTGATTTATAGTAAGTACATATTATATTCTATTAGAAAAGAAATATTCTCGCTGAAAAGTATTCTCGTTATTGTTTGTTGTTAAAAGTGTAACAGAAAAAAAAAGTAATTCAAACCTATCGTACCTATCGTAAAACTACGACATAAAAATAATTGTATCAAAGAAAGGTCATAAATCATAATAATATAATAATTTAGTAACATAAAAAATGTATAAAATCCTATAAATATGTAGTATTATTTAATTAAAATTAATTTCAATATACATACCTATTGGTATTTTATCTTCGTTAATAAGAAAATATATACAAAATAATCAAATATTTAATAAAAATAATAAAAATAGTAAAAACATACATAGAACAAAATCAGTAAAAGTTAAGGAAAATTTTAAAAAGAAGTCGAAATAAACCAAGAGACATCGATTTTCCATCAAGGAGTCGGAAAACAACCGGAAGAATTTTCGACTCCTCGAAGATCTCGACGACCATTAAGAGGGATTCAAAAAAAAAAAAAATGGGAGTCGAATTTGAAAGAATTTTTTCACTGTTCTACGAAATCAACTCCCTCAGTACAAATCGTTGGGCAGTCAAAATCAACGGATATACCGGTATGAATCCAAACCAAAAAACTATGAGATAATTCACTAATCATATTGAATAAGCTGCAATTAACAATATACTTAAAGGACATAGAAATAATTACATATCATAATAGACTAAAAATTGTGAAACATTAATAAATTCAGTGGTGTATCTATAGGGACATTATATATATGGATACATTATAACTATACTATTAAATAGTTAAAAAAAAAAATCCATCACGATATACTAATATCATTGACTAGTTTATACACTTATGCCACTAAAACTGAAATAGTAGCATAAATTGTATTTATTTTAATGAATTATAACTAAATAGTTCTCAATTTTAGATTCTAAGTGGAGCAAATTCTATGTTGGTTTTACAAAGATGTTTATTTTTTTTTTTTTACTTGTTAACAACTTTTCTACCTGTAATTTTGCTCCAACTTTTAATGATAGCAATGTTTCTAAAAGGAAATTTTACTAAGGAGGTACTTTAGATTACCTCACCATAATATAACATATATGTTGTTGACAATGTATCAACTGAACTACGCTCAGAATCGTTTGTTTTTTTTTTTAATCAATGGTTTATCGTTGCTTACAGGTATACATTAAATTTTCTATAACAGTAGTTGCACCCATCCCCTTTATCTTAAAACGTCTTTTTTACGATTGCCATTTAAAATTATATACTACTCATTAGTACGGTCTCATTTTGATTATGGGGGGATGGTGGTAGCCTGCTCGTGAGCCTCCCTGCATATGCTATTTCACACGCCGAAACCTAACAAGTAGAAGCAATCAAAATAGCATAACCAATACCACCACATAGGCGCTGATACCCAGCTCATCAAACACATGAGTAACACACTATCTTGATACTGATATGACAAATAAAAACGGTCCTTTTAAGGACCAACTGACGCGTGATATTGGGGCTAACCTCAAGGTGTGCCACTTCAATATCGAAGGTATATCGAGAGACAAGTGCGAGGTATTGAGCAAACTTATGAACAATGAACGAGTTGATGTTATCGCATTACAAGAAACACACACAGTAGACGACAAGGACCTAAAGAAACGAGGATTTATACCAGGTTATTTGTTACTCGACTCAATTCATCACAAACAATATGGTGTTGCAACGTACGTGAAGGAAGACTTAGATGATGTGGAGACTATATCAAAATCAGTCTCAGAGAACATTTTTATCTTAATAACCAGAATAAATGAAGTTAACATCGCAAACATATATAAACCCCCCAATGAAACCTGGTGTAGTCCTCCAATAAAAGTATTGAAACACCCAGCAATATATATATAGGCGATTTTAATAGCCATAGCACAGCATGGGGATATGGCAGCAATGACAGTAACGGAGATGTACTAGACGAATGGATCATATTGAATAATCTATATCTTGTATACAGCTCAAAGGATAAAGGAACGTTCTTGTCAGCTAGATGGCAAAAAGAATATACTCCAAACCTAAGCATAGTCTCAAGGGCGTCACTCAATGACAATATAATGGTCACACGTCAGGTAATGAGAAACTTCCCCCACAGCCAACACAGACCAGTAATTATAAAATACGGCTTGCAAATACCAATGGTTCGGTCAATTCCTAAACCTCGCTGGAATTTTAGGCGTGCTAACTGGAAACAATATGCCAAGGAAGTAGACCACCTCTTACAATGGATTCCACCAGTAGCCAATAACTACGAACGTTTCATTGGAGTTATCAAAACGGTAGCAAAGAAACACATACTAAGGGGCTTTAGGAAAATGTTTATCCCTACATGGGATAAAAACTGTGAGAAATTATTCGAAGATTTCCAAAGGACAAGAGATTATGAAATCGCAGACAAAATGCTTAAAGTACTTAATAACAACCGCAAACAGAGATGGCATGAATCGGTCGAAAGGTTGGACTTTACAAGATCAAGCCACAAAGCATGGGGACTTATGAAAAGACTTGGAGACAGAAATACAAGAACAACATCACAAATAAAATGTATCAAACCAAACGATATTGCGTCTAGACTCGTGAAGGCCGCAAAGGTAAATATGGATAAAACTTTTGGAAAGGAAATCAAAGTAAAACTTAGAAAAGCTAAAAACGAATTAAGCAAGCAATCGGAATATGATACACCTTTTTCGATACAGGAAATAGAAACAGCACTGAAAAAGACAAAAACGCAAAAAGCAGCAGGTTTTGATGGCATATATCCGGAATTTTTAAAATTCTCTGGAGCGTACACTAGAAGATGGCTTGCGGAATTTTATAGTGTCATACTTGAAAAAGGTCATATACCTAAACAATTTAAGAGAGCAAAAGTGATCGCCTTACTTAAACCTGGAAAAGAAGGTAAAGAAGCGGCAGACTTTAGGCCAGTGTCCTTATCGAGCGTCACGTACAAAATATTAGAAAGACTAATATTGGAACGTACACAGCCAACCATTGACAAAGTAGTCTCCATTGAGCAAGGATTTAGGAAAAACCGTAGCTGCACTGAGCAGGTTTTGGCCCTCACTACATTTATAGAGAGTGGCTACCAAAAGACATTAAAGACCAGTGTTGTGTTTGTTGACCTGTCGGCAGCCTATGATACAGTATGGAGGCAAGGATTAATGTACAAATTTACTAAGACAATCAATTGTAGAAACACTGTTGAGCTAATTAACAATATGTTTACAAACCGCCTGCTAAGAGTGTTCTTAGATAGTAAAGGAAGTAGATGGCGGAAAATGAATGATGGTCTTCCACAAGAGCCGGTATTAGCACCAACACTATTTAACTTGTACATGAGCGACCTACCAAAAACGGAGGGCACCATATTCCAGTTTACAGACGATATTGCGGTTGCCTACCAATCAATGGAAATGGTGGATGGTGAAAGAGTGTTGGCAAAAGACTTAACAACCCTGAACACATACTTCCAAAGATGGAGACTCAAACTAAACCCAAATAAAACAGAAGTATGTGCATTTCACCTTAATAACAAACAAGCTGGAAAAACGCTAGATATAAGATTTGATAATGTACAATTAAACCACAATTACATTCCAAAATACTTAGTTATAACACTGGACCGAATATGGTAAGACATTTGTTATTAAATTCATCATGAATTGTTACAAACAATTTTCTAAAACTGATGACTATTGCAATGCTTACGTAACATGCGCATCCACTGGAAAGGCGGCAGTAGCTATTAATGGGGTAACAGTGCACACATTATTGAAAATATTGCTTTCAAAATTTGTTCCACTATCAAATGAGGTTTTTCAACAATTCCAAACATTATTTAAATATGTTAAAGACAATGCATTAATATGTAAATTCAACCCAAACACCTTGGCTCCCAGTGCTGACAAATATAGCACCACCCCACATCCGGAGGAAAGAGGCTCTAGTCAACACTATAACTTCATGCCTAAACTACAAAGGGTCACTACTGTTCCAAATGCTAAGGGATAAACCGATAAATAGACTAAAATCCAGAAAACCATCTGGCTTAACAACAAAGAACCTAATCAACACACAATTTTGTAGTAGTACATTATGGAATGAAGAGTAGACAAAATCACATGTTACTAATAAAGATCTTATTACTAGACCCGACCAAAAAATAGAAGGCATGTCACTACCAAGAAACCAATGGACAACAATAAATCAGATCAGGACAGGACAGGGAAGATATGGATCTTTATTATTCAAATGCCGCTACAAAGATAGTGCAGCGTGTGATTGTGGGGAAGTGGAACAGACCATGAAACACATCGTGGAATCGTGTCCCAGGAGGTCATTCGAACAAGGGACTGAAGGAATNATTCGAACAAGAGACTGAAGGAATCCACAAAGCTACCAAAGAGGCAATAGAATGGCTAATAGAACTTGACTTAGACTTATAATTAACTACTATTTATAACAATATTATTATATGTTGATTTATTTTATTTTACTTGCGTTTACAATTTATATAATATATTTAACAACTATATGTGTACTACCAGAACCTTATGTTCTGTTTTTATTTTATTATTCTATATTTGTTACAGTTAGAAAGTGAATAGTGTATTATGTGTTTGAGACCCATTCCATACGAAATAAATAAATAAATTTTGATTATATTGCCTTAATTTGTTACACTGATAATATCACATAAAATCAAAGTTTATCCTCAGTTTAAAATAACTTCCTAAGATATTTATCGTATAAATGCCATGTAGAAAGATTTCCTCATTCAGAATATTATGTTACTTGTAGTTTTTTTAAAACAATGTCTTAAAGAATAAATTTGTTGAACTGTAAATTTCTTTATAAATTATTACATAATATTATTAACTGTCCTGAACTTCTTAAGCGTTCAAATTTTAAATTAAACCAATCATTATTTTATCCTTCACTAATTAATAAAAAAAAATACGTTATACACCACGGCAAATGATTTTTGTAACCGCGGGAAACTCAATTCATAATTTAGATATATTTAACACTATACTTTACTTATTTTGTTAAATATTTTATCCAGTTAACACTGTTTACTATCTTAAATTATTTTATTATATCCTTAATTTATTAATAATAGTTTAGTTTATTTTGTATAATATATTATAATTCATAACTCAGTATATTAATTCGTGTATACATTTATTAAAAATAGTTTGTTTTGCATGATAATTTAATTGTTCAATATTAATAGATTATTTCCTTCATCATATTCATTAAACTGTCACTTTACCCTGTCAATTTATCACTTTGAAATTGGAAATAATTTATAATAAAATTATTATTATTATTTAAAAAAATCACTCTGTATTTACAACTATAATACTATATCATATAAGAAAAAGCGTATAAGCAAAGATTACTAGATTGTAATATACATGGTTTCTATCTAATTATTTGAATTAATCGTATATTACCTACCGTAATTACCAATTTACCAATATAAATCAATAATATCTTAGGTGTTAAACGTAGGATAAAATTTCCCTTACCATAACCAGATGTGATATTGAATATATAAATCACTATTCCTAGACCTGTCCAGGTACAATGATTGAGCGAAGCGTACAGTGCTTGTTCTATAGAATAATAAGGTCTGTTTCTTTGGTAGAATATATTCCCATAAAATTGAACGTACAAACAAATTACAATCGCAATGGATGTCCCGACGAATACGGTAATCTATAAATCCAAATGGTATTTTTACACAAACATTCGCTTATTTCAAATTGTATAAATTATAATACTACCTGTGAAAATCGTATGTTTCTTTCCTTTAATTTTGGACCTATAAAACCCATTGTCAGGCCCAAGAAAAATGGAATGGCTCTCATGTAACTTGGTCTGTATGAATCGCTAAACGTTGATGAACTTCTTGGGTTTTTTAAAAATCTAAAATTAGTTTTTTGTTCAATACATATCATTAGAGCGTTCAACAATATTAGTTTATTAAATTAACATTATTGAACAAAGGTATTATTAGATAATATTAGACTTATTTAAACTATTATTTAGGATCAATAAAAGCGTAATAATATTTTTAAGGCAACCAAATAATCTCTAAATATTCTGTTTAGGAGAACGAGTTAGATATTGTATTATTATATTAAAAGGTACTTACGGTAAGTTCAATTTTACTATGCTGTCTCTATTCGTCAAAAGCGTAATAATAAATGGTATGCAAAACGATATACAAAGTAAAACGCTTAGTAACCCAATGCCGGATTTTTTATTTTTCGAGTATATGTATAAAATGATAACACCAACTATGAAAAACTGAATATCGCATGATAGATACCAGCTTATTAACAAACACTGCGTAACATAATAACACAATTATTACAAAAACAATATTACAAAATAATTTATTATACTTTAAGTGTAAATAAAAAAATGTTAAAATCTCACTTGGTTCTTGACATCGATAAAATTACTTATAAACAATAAATTCGTCCACCAATAGTTTTTACAATTCTCAGCTTCTTGCCAGATATTTTGGGGCCAGAATGGGCCATCTCCAGCATGTGGTACAATATAAGCTGTGACTGCCATTATCACACAATAAGCCGGTAGCATTCTAAAATAATTTTGAAAATTCACTAACGTTCATTATTATTTTAGTTATATTTTAACATACTGATATCTTATGAGAATAAATATAACTACACTGTGTAGATGATGTCTTTTTTAGTTCCTAATTCTATTTTAAATTAATACAGTTAAACACAACGGTGCGAAAACTGTGATGACTCACTTGAAAATTCGATATACAATTGGTGATACAAACTTTAGCCAACCTGGTCCCGGTTTAGAAAACGTCGGATAAACTGTAAAGTACGTAAGATATCCGGTTATAAAAAAAAATGGATCGACTATATTCATACCGGATTTCAAAATTTTCGGTCCATCAAGAAAAAACTGCAAAAATAATATTTGTTAATTTAAATTCTAAAACAGTCAATTTTGTATATGATGATCTTAAAGTTAACTAGAACTAAGTATAAGGGGTGGCAGAATCGGGGTAATTAACCAAAAGGGAGAGATGGAAAAGTCCCGGATTAAGCAGTATTGAGTAGATACGAGAAACAGTGGTTTATTAAAACTATGAGACGTGCGTGGTTGAATCAAGTAGAACAGGGAATGAATTCTAGTGGAGTAGAAGAGAACCCGGGAAAAGATGATTGACAATAGATCTGGAACGTCGATGGCACCCTCAAGAAAATAAGAGACGACGGAGACTCAGCCTAACTCGGTAAGAGTAAAGGGTAATAAGAAAAACTTATTCTGCATGCACTCAATGCAAAACTGGTCGCGTGTGAAGTAATTAGGAAGTTAAGACAAAGATTGACCTTATCAATCCAAATATAGAAAGAATCAAGGTTGGATTAAAGATGAAAACAGTCAGAAAGAGAATTAACTTTGATGAATAAATTAAGGTCATTGGTCAATAGAAGAGCTTTGGCAATAGCGTTTTTGTCGTTAAGGGAGTTTATGAACAATATGAAAAAAATGTATCACATCAATTGTTCGTCGAAAATAGTTCCCACAAAAATTATTCGAATGCGACAATAAATTGTTTGTAAAAAAATTGTGATAATTTTAGGGAAATGTCTGTCCATTATCTTTTCAAATACGTTCAACCAGTAAAGGGGCTATTAAGTTTAATATGTATAAAACATATATCTTTCATACACGAGTATATATGTACCCAGGTTACGTTTTATATATTTCAAAGCCACAGTAATTTATTATAAAATTTCATATAATATATATAAATTAAAATAAAACGGACAAAATACTGGTGAATGTTAACTACTTGAATGTTGCATAGGTTTGTGTGATGTAAGTACTAGTATAAGGTACCTATTATTAATACTATAGCGTAACCCATTAGGAAATCCATATAAAGTTCGATAACGTAAAGCTATCGATAAGATATTAATTTAATATTGTCACTGGCAGACTGTCGTATAGATCATATCCAAAAAATGTTCACGCCAACAATATTATCGTACTTATTTGAATACGTTTTGCGCGAATAATTATTGTCGTATTCGAACTATTTTCGGCGAACAATTAACGCATATTCGAAAAAAGTGGACTGAAATACCCACCCTGTAGGAAAACAAAGTTTGGAAACCAGTTTGGAAGAAACACCATTAATGGAAACAAATTTTCTTCTAGCGGTACAATAGGAAGAAATCCAGGACAGAAGAGGATTGCCTAATATTATATTGTGCATATTTTGGGAACGGTAAAATATATATTCCTAGGCTGATTTTATAGGGCAGTCTAACCCTGGTGAACATTGTTATTTTTTTTTGAGTATAATAATCTAATTTAATATAGTAATGACAAAATTTTAAAACTGTTTTTCTATTTTCTATTTGTATTTACTGTCATGTAATATTTGTCATGACTTTATCCCATAACCCTTATAGAACTATTTTAAATTTATTTTAAAATTATTTATAACAATACTCCATAGGAACCTATACAGAGAGATTGGTATTGTCAACTTAAAGTGAATTCCTCCACTCTACAGAAATAACACTATATGCCTACTATAATCACCCACTTGGGCTTTCACCAGTAAGAGCTCTGTGTCCGGAGTTTGTAAAACCCGTAACATCATATGCCCAATTAAGATCATTTATATTTTTAGAGTTCTTCGTAATATATTAGACTTACACAAGCCGCATCAAATATATTTAGCTTTGATAGAATCAGTTATAATTAATTATATAATATAGTTAGATAGAGTGAAGCGTTTGATAAAGTTTTAACAGAATTACAAGTCTGTCAAAAATCAAATTTTGAATGTTATTCTTAGTAATCAAAGATAGCCAACTGAAACTCTGTATACAGATCTGTATATGTTAACTATTAGAAAATTTTGTTATGAAACAATTCCTATATTTCTAAAAAACCTACGTACAACGGCATCAATACTAAGTATGCTAAAAATAACTATTTAATGATTTTGTCAAAGAAAACAATATCATGAAGACATTTTCAAATAATTGGCACCAAGATATTTATTGACAGTAATACCAAATAATATTGCAAATTTTACACTTAAACAATTAAAAAAAAAATTTTACTTTGGTTATTAGACTTAGATGATACATTTATAGTGGCGATTAATTTGTTAATAATTTATTGATGTAAATATTGTGATTTGTAATTCTTATTCTAAAAAAAATAGTTTCATTCAATTTTAAATAACAATATACTTGATTTTCTTTATGTTTTCCCTCTTTTTGATTTGTATTATTTCAATTGTGTATTTTAATGATTAGTTTTGTTCTTGTTGTATTAATAGTATAACTACCAAAAAATTAATAAGTCCTTGACTTCACATGAGTTCTCTCAGTAAGACCTAATTTTCAATATAAGGCAATTTTTTTTTAAATGAACCAACAATTTTCTCAGAGGGTTTAAGTGAATTTGATTTCGGTTTTTTTTTTTTTAATCATTTTTAATTATTGCCCCAACTCCATGTACCTTAAATAAGTATATACCTAGGAAAGGGTAATAAATTGAATATCTATTTTTAAATGATAAATTAATAAGTCTTCCCTAACCCTCCAGGTCTAAACTTTAGATGGTTACAAGTCATACACAATAAATTTGACATTATAATGTTGTGCATATTAAAATGGCTAAATGGCGAAGAAACTATAACAAAGAACTAAGAATTCTTTTTATCAGACCAGATATAGTAAACTGAATTAAAAGGTAAAATCCGGAGTGGGCGAAATATGTAAGGAGAAAACAAAGAAGTATGGTGAAAATAATATTACTGAAGAAACTAAGAAAATTGTAAAAATGAGTGAAATGGTAGTTTTTCATCCGAATACAAATTGGCGGAAACTAGTAGAAAACCCGGATGGATGGGAACGGATTTGTTTGGATAATGGTCTAAAAGACGTCAAAATAAAAAAAAATTAATTCTACAAGTAGTAGTATGATTATTTATTCCTCATTAAATAAATCCATTAACTAATTACTAATTAACATATGTTTTTAAATATTTTATACTTACATTTTCTACGAATTTACTAACACTGAAAGGGTTTCCCAAAAAAAACATGGCTCTGTGACCAAATAAAACACCAAGCATTACAATAACTTTAAAACCATTTATATAATTCAATTCATTGTTTTTATCAAACTTTAACAATTCTCGGCTCGACTTAATAAATGAAAACGAATAGTAAATTGAATCAGGCTCAACATCTGTAAATTAAATAATATATTGTTATACATAGTATAAAATTTAAATTATATTACAAATAATCATCTATTGACAGTAAAAACTGATCTGAAAATTAGTTAGGTACAACTTTTCAATAATATTCTACGGGAGGCATAGATTAACACATTTTGGTTCGATTATATACCAATCCAAAGACAAACCATTTTCCAGTAAGTTAACAACTTTAAATAAAAATGATTTATATACTTACGGGCATCTTTATTATTTTTGTAGTATGACAATGCTACGAAATGATGTATCGTTGCACCAAAACAGACCAAAATTAATATTATTAATAGTGATCTGAAAACAAATTAAAAATTAATAATAACATACGATTACAAAAGTCCTGTACTAATATTGTCAATGCATGTATAAATTATGTATATTATATTATTATATACTACATTTTAAAATGTTTTTCAAATATCTTAATAGTAATTTGTAATTACGAAATTGTATTAATTGTATGATTATATTGATACTCGATTTTTTTTTTCGTACAGAGTAGTTAAATAGGCATGCAATTAAAAAAGAAGTCCTAAAATAATGGAGACGAATGCAGCTATTGTTATCGGTAATTTCATGTATACCTGTAAGCATCAATAAACCATTGCTAACGAAAAATGAAGGGAGTTCAATTGACAGTGATGCTTTGTAAACAATATATATGTCATATTATAGTAAAATAATTAAATAGGCTTTATATATTTTCTTTAATAATATTTGTTTAATTTTGTATCGATTTTCACGTTTTTCCTACGTTTTTCCCGGTCTTTCACATTTGCTGGGAATTCTTGGGAAAATTGAAAAAAGACCTTTCTAAAGTACCTCACCAGTCGGATTTAATTTTAGAAAAAGTGCTATCATTGTAAATCGGAGCAAGATTTCTGGTAGAAAATTTGTGCACAGATAAATAAAAAAAATATAAAAACATTTTTGTTAAAATAATAAGCTTCTTCTCTCCACTCAAAATCTAAAATTTTAAAAAAAACTAATAAGTCTTACATGAAATATTTTATTTTAATTTAATTTAGTGTAAGATATGTGTATCGTGTATGATATTAATGTTATTGGTTGTTATAGACTATCCTTGCTTCCCTCCTAAATGTACTTATTATTATTAAGCTAAACAGAAAAACTGCATAATTCATTATTAATTCTTAATTAAAATGTATGGTAATTTATAATGCGATCTCAAGTACTTTTAGTAACAACACATTTGAGAAAATATTGATATTTCCACATTTTAATTTTAACACATAAGAACTAAAACACGATAATTTATATCAACAAACTAAAATTTAGTATCCCTTAGCACGTTTGTGTTATTCTGAAATCTTCCAATTCCTGTGATCTACCTTATGTGGTTTTTCCACCTCCTCGATTTATCTAAACCCATCATAATTTTTTATTGACTAGGTTTTAGGTTTACATTTAGGGTAATATCTTTCTTAGAGCAGTATTACATTTGACTCAAATGTGCGTGTACGTTAAGTTTGGTACTATTGTATTATTTTTCATGAAATATAATGTAAGTATCCAAACGTTGTATTCAGTGGCATATTTATAAGGGGGAGATACAGTAAATTGATTCCCCTTGTTTTTTTTTTTTTTTACTGAAATATACCTAATATTATTTTTTGTATATTTATGGTAATATGGTGATATAAGATATTACAGAAATACAGAATAAAATTATCAACATTTCTACACTTTATTATAATATTGAATATTGATGTACTAGGCATTTTAAAATATTATGGTCGATGCATACTGCTAAAATGTTAAATATGAATGAAAACGTTTCTTATAGTGAAGTACCGTCATTATTGTCATTAACCATAGGGCAATACTAATAATAATTGAAAACTAAATTACGAGTTATTTTTATCATTTATTAATGCATTATTTGCTCTCTTTCCCTCGGGGAAGTATAGTGTTTAACTATGAATATCGCTCCTCCCTCTCCTTAACAAAATTCTAATTCCACCACTGGTTGTATTAATTTAGATAAAAAAGTATTAAAATTTTTATTAATTTACCAAAACGTAATTCTATCCATTTATATGAACTTGGAATCGATATAAATTCTGAAGACCTTCCCAATTGTGGTGCAAAAAATCCGGATTTTCTGAAGTTTGATAATATTAATTTTCGGAATTCATATTTTTTAAATCCGAAAATTAAAATCCGAATTTAAGTAATCCAAAATCAAAAATACATCCAAAGATAATGGTAACGGGTGCAGCCACACAGGTTACATTTAATAGGTATACATTTAATAAAGATAAACCATTGCTTATGAAAAAACGATTCTGAGTGGAGTTCGGTTGATAGTGATTCTTTGTCAACTATATATATGCCATATTATAATAAAATAGTTAAATAGGATTTACATATTTTCTTTAATAATATTTGATTAATGTTTTACCGATTTTCTCGGTTTTCCTACGTTTTTTACGGCTTTCTCATACTTTTTCCCGGTGTTTAACATTTTGAACCCCCCTGCACCCCACATACTACAGACATTTGATATTCACTACGAATTAGCTCAATAGTATATTTTTAGTTCATAATATAAATACAAATAATAGCTATTTTGATGTTAGTAATATTATTAACTTACGTAGTGATATAATATCCCGTATCGTAAGAATACATATCTCCGCTGACAGTGCACGTAATTGGATTCACTTTAACAAAAGCTTTGACTTGTTCGGTTAACAGCACATTGTCTAATTCTTTTTGCAGTGATATTTGAAGGTCGTGAGCAGTACAAGAATCTGGAATGCATATTCCTATGTGCATAACGTTTCGTTGGACTTGATCGGGATAATCAATCCACTAAAAAAAACAACACAAATCCCATTATATTAACAAAGAATAATCAAAAATATCGATTATGCTTTTTTTATGCATTTGGTTTTGGAAACAAAAATATTTTTAAGATTATATTATACTGCAGAATGTCTTAAATAAACGTTAGATACAGTAATATGTTCTTTGAATATAAATAAAATAGAACAATAATATGACGTATTTTATGTAAATAAGGTAGTTTATTGAAACATACATCTATGTAAAATTGTTTGAAATTTTATATTTTTTTTGAAAAGATGTCGAAGGTCAACATTTTAACTCTTCAATACCTATTATTGCAAGTATGCAATATGTTAAAATAATATGTTTCTACGCTACATACGGATTACAAAAAATGCGTTACACTATCTAACGAACAGTTCAGACACTAATTTATGTTTTTATATCGATACGCACATCAATTCCCGTTTTTTAACATGTTTCAAACTCGATAACGTTAATTGGTGATTTTTCTCTAGAGTGGTTTTTATTTTCTTGATTTATAACATATGTTTTGAGTGAAAAATACTATCTTAAATCACCGGAGATGAAACTTAAAATTATTGTAAGGTATATATAAAGTATTTTAGTCATTTATTACACACAAATAATTAATTACGCAGTAGTTATACTTAATTTTGTTTTAGTACTTTAGTTATAAAAGTAAAAATTTTTAATAAGCTTATACAGAAGCTCAAATACAGGCGTTTTAAAATTATTTTTCCAAAATTCAGCATATCAAAATTAGTTTAGGATATTTTTTGTGTGAAAAAAAATGGGAATTGAAGAGTTAATTGTTATAAATTCAAACACCATCCACCAAACGTTACATAGCCTTACACATTATTTGTAACAATAATATTGTATATATACAAAACTCAGTGTTCGTCAATCGTTCTATGAAATATCGCAATGATGATTAACTTGAAGATATCGATATACCTAATACGCAACTAAATCGGTATCACCATAATGACTGGAAGGTCCAGTAAAAATTGCATAACACATTATTACATTATTATTATGATTTATGAATATTTTCCATTATAAAAGTAATTTTCTATCGCCGATAATTATTAGGTTGTCAAATATAATAATTAACTATCAATTTTTAAGTTAGGTAATTCCCAATATGACACCCCCTCCTTGAACCAGTGTTTAGAATATAAAATTTTCAACTCGTATAAGAGATAATATTTATTCATAAAATATTATTTTATTTTCTTTTAATTTTAAAGAGGGACATTAGAAAAATACAATATAAACTACACTTACACATTTAATACTTGTTGGGGAGGACAACTTCTTTCAATCAAATAACGGATTTGTTATAACTTATAACGAATAATAGGTATAAGTATAGTAAATTGCTAACAGTTTTCATTTGACACTGCATACGTATACTGCAAGTATTGTATTGTATTTTTACAACATTGAAAAATTTTTCACGTGAAGAACTATTATAGTACTATTACACTATAATAGTATTCTTATTAATTTTAATATTGCTAATATCTATTTGTTTCTTTTCCCTTTTTTTTTACGACTAATAAAATACATATAATATTACAAATTGTATTTTTCTTTATTACTCATATTACTTACTAAGATTTCATACAAAATATTACTAATCAATTATTAAATATAATATCTAATACATTGTTAACGAAATAATTTAACGTACCCCTAATATGGTGTTCCAAGCGTGGTTGATGCCATAGTAATTCATGTCATCTGTTCTGTTAAATCTGAAATCTTTTCCCGTCGCTGTAACTATATTTACTTCAGGTATGCAATACTGCCCCCTTACAGGAAATTCTATGTCAACACATTCATCATAAACACCTAAATGATACCTGTTGCCTGCGAGTATACCAACCGGACGTCGATCCCACGATTCTGCCACTGAAATACATTTTAAATTCTTCATTTATTGAGTTTAATAAAATATATCTACGAATAAAGTTCGATCTACCTAGGTACTTCATAAAACAAATTTGAAAAAAAATGTTTTAAATTTTTATAGTACAAAAAACTCTTAAGACTCGTAGGCGCATAAGCCCCCCCCCTCAAAAAAAAAGAAAATTCAATAGTCTCCCCAAAACCCTCCCAGGTTTTTTCTACCTATTGAATTTTTATTGGTTTATGATGTAGAGTAAAACATGCATTTGCAGTTTGTAATGAAATAAAAAATTAATTATAAATAATAAATTTATCATTGACGAATATTTAAAAATTAGTCATAGTTTTACGGCGATCAAACAGTATACCAATTGAAACAAATACAATTAGTACAAATGGAATATCTTAATGTGCATATATTTTCATATTTTTAAGATAGCGTACTTCATGATTGAACAAAATATCATGATGTTATTTATAAATTATAATATTTTTGTGATATTGAGCATTGTAATTTTTAGCTCATAATATATACCTAAGTCCTATAAATACAATCTATTTGATGACTCAATAATAGAGTTTCACCGTAATCTTTTTTGGTGTTAAAATGGTTATATTTTTTTGATTTTCAAATAGTAACTTATAGTTGATACTAAAAATTCCATAAATATATGAAGTATTAGTTAAAATAAATGTTGGTGTTAAAGTTTTTGATTTCCGTCAACCCATTGACAAGATATTCACTTTAAGTTTGGGCAAGAAGATATATTTTAAATATTGCTCCGCTACTCTCCCCTACCTAAACTTGAAATTGGAATTATTTTTTAATCAGCGGGTTGACGAAAATCAAAAATACCAACACCAAAATGTATTTAATCTAATACTCCGTCTCTGGAATTTTTAATATAAGTTGATATTTGAAAATAAAAGTAGGTAGCCGATTTACCCCCGAAAATAAAGGTGAGAGAAATAAGAATATAACATTTTAAAAAATATGATTATAAAAAGTTTTTAAATGAGTAAGTTTATTAAAAAAATAAGTAACTCATGAAAAATTGTAATATGTTATGCAATTTGAAAGACCCTGTATAAGATATATAATATGTATATCTTATTATATATGTATCTTATTTAAGTTGTATTCAGTGGTCAAAAAAAAAAATGGTGAGCATAATGTAGCCTTTTTTTGTTTGTTAGAGTTTTAAGAACAAATTTTAGCGAAAAACGTAAAAATTATGGCATTTCAAAACATATATAACATTGACCCATTTCATTTGTATCAATATGCATTGATAACTTTATGTGTCCAACCTACCTAAACTTTCCACCAATTTTTTATTTGTTTTCCAATATTATTAAAGGAAGTACTTACAAATAATTTCAAAAAACGCATTAGAATCATGAAGTTTATTTTTATTTAATGTAATACTTTTGCAATTTATTATGATAAAAAATGTTATTGATAACTTATAATCGTCTCCGTGATTTTTCGATTTTAAAAAAGATAACTAATCAAACCGTTGATTCAAGTCTACATCAAGTTTATATTATACTTTTTGTAGTATCTGTGTTTCGACGTAGAACGTGTGTTAGTTTTAAGAAATTGAAATTTATTTTTCTTTTATATGAATAAATCGCAAATGGATTTCAATTTATGTACGAAAAATACCAAAACTCATATATCTGCCACTAGAATTTGAATTCGATGTCCAGCTTCCAAGTGCACACGGACTTATTTATCCAATCTTGTTGGGCAGGGTTTTAAATGGCTGAATTTCGGACTTAAATTTTTTTTTAATCTAAATTACATAATATTAATATAAAATAATAAAGTATATAAACTGTAATTTGATATGTGTTATTAATAATGATACTTGGACTCATGTTATTAGTTTATTCTTTACTAACTATATTTTAATATAATATAAATTATTTTATTTATATTTCATTATTTAATTTGATCACTGTCTATAAATCTTAGAGATTAAATTACAAAGTCCATTTATAAGGGATTTTACCCACCTCTCCATCCTTTTCTGAATGTAAATTTTCAGACCTCTGCGCACCTACGATAGATTTGACTGTGGGTCACGAATAGACAGACACGTTTTTCTTTTATTAATATAAACAATTAATAGGTATGTAATATAGATGCTCACTTCTAACCGCCCAACTGGTGTAATTTTGTAGATTCCTTTCGTACATTTCCGTCTGTCGGCGGCAAGCCGTGCTACCGACATTCCGGACGGAAAAGTTAGCTAACCCTTGATAAAGCAGATCTGATATCCACGCACTCGGTGTGTCGGCATCGTCCAAACTCACCACTGAAGGTACTACGGACGGCTCTTGGTAGGTAATTTGGCCATATGTGGCAACTAACCCGCACAACGATATTATCACCACAGAATACATTCCAAAGCCGTGACTAGGATTCGTAAAAAAAAAATATATATATATATAAAACAGTTTAGGTACGATTAAATTTTATTAAATATCTCGTTGTTTTTTTTTTAAACGAAGGCAGCGGCCATTTGAACGTTCACGTGAAACGGCTGATTATAATATCGCGAATTCGCGGGGACCGACAAATACAGAAATCGGAATAATTCGATCGTTCGCGATGACTATCCGTTATGTACTGTGCCGATCGTATGATACCCACAACGTTAATGTAGGTAACCTTTTGCTACAGGAAACGGCATGGGTACGCACGCGCGTTCGTGAAAAAAAAAACCCGCTTGTGGTGGTGCTCGCCGTGGCCGGACTGCCTTCCGGATTGGCAACACGATTAGGTAGGTACCACACTAGTCGACACGAAAAAAAGTAATACATAAAACGATAATATAGCGATTTTTTACGCATGAAATGTATCTCAATACATATTATATATATATATATATATATATATCAATATTAATGTTAAATATTTAAAAATGATGTCCTAGGATAATGTCGGGTGCAGCCACTGTCATAGGTAATTTAATGTATATCTGTAAGCAACAATAAACCATTGCTAACGAATAAACGATTCTAAATGGAGTTCAGTTGATAGTAATGTTTTGTCAACAATATATATATGTCATATTATGGTACAGAGGCGCCGAACTTGAATTTATTTTGGGGGACGAAATTAGTTTGTGTACCCACCACCCATGAAAGATCCAATGGGGGAGGGGGGGCAAATGCTCCCTCTGTTCTTCAAAAACATTTAAAATTCGTGACTCTTGTTTTCAATGAAATTACAAATTGCAATATAAAAAATGATTTGTGTCACTATAAATTGATAAATGTATGTAAACAATACATACCTACTTTAAAAATAACTATATCACAGTACCTAAATGTATTTAATTATGTGTTCATCAATCATCAAGGTTAAAATTAAGTTTTTATCATTAACGTATATACTGTGAATTTGAATAGTCACCTCTTCGTTATGACTATTCGACTACCACCCACCGAAAAAAGGGGGGGAGGGGACTGCCCCTCCTGGGTTATAAGTTCGGCACCGCTGTTATGGTAAAATAATTAAATAGGCATTTTATATTTTTTTTAATAATATTTTTTTAATATTGTACCGATGATCCCGTTTTTCCTGCGGTTTTCCCAGTTTTCAATAGTATTACATTTAAAGCAAGATTTCTAGAATACAAGTTGTTTACAAACAGAAAAAAACACTAATTAGTAAAACGATGAAATTGTTGAAACAAAAGTTGTGAGTAAATTGCTTTACTCACAATTTAAGATATTCAAATATATAGTACTCAATCTGTTTATTGTGATATTATTGTTACGTATGATTTTTTACTCGTGTAAATTATGTTTTTTTTTTCAAAATTTCAGGATATTATCTTATTTCATTTTTGTTTTTTTATTTCAGTTTTTTTTTATTCGCATAGTTTGTACCTCTATTCACAACCTATAAAAGAAGTCTAGACATACCTATGAACTTATACCCACTATACTCTATAATTTTATGGATACAATGCTTCAATTATTAAATCCATTTTTTCGTGTAACATATTAATATAAAATCCCGATACTTAGCACAACATGAGTGAACTTTAGTCAGGCCCGTCGTAAGCGAAAATTTTATTTCTGTCTTTTTGACGATAATTAATTTAATTTTGCTGTTTCAACTTATTTAAAATTATATACCATCCTAGAGAAATGGATGGCTTGCTCGTGCCTTAGCTACGGGCCTGACTGTAATAGGTGGAATGCATATGTAGTTTACTACATATGCATTAGTTTACTCTTAAAAAGATACCACACCTGCATCTACTGTCTCAGTCCAATTACTAAGCAATATGCAAAAAAAAATAATGCTTACGCAGTCTAAGTGAAACTGCTTTATACAATTTTGATTTTAGAGTAAAAGTTCATATTATGAAATGTATAAAAAACAATATTTAGAAGGGAATCTCATAAGTGTTTTTTGAATTTTGAGCTATAAAAAAAGTTACAGCTATAGTTATTTAAAAAACTAAAAAAAAAAAATGTTTGTGCTTTTTATATCGAGTTATATATTTAGAACAACACAAAACCCCGATGAGGTCCCTTCCAAAATATTTTTTTCTATAAATTTCATAATAGGTACTTTTACTTGAAAATTAAAATTAAGCTAGTTTTACTTAGTCTGCGTAAGCATTGTTTTTATATATTGCTCGGTAGTTGGACTGAGACAGTAGATGTGGGTGTGGCGTCCTCTTAACAAATTTGAATACAATTTATAAATAGACGATCTAGTGGACAGCGGTATTTATATTAGACAAAATATAATTTTAATTTACACTAATCATATATTTTTGTTATCAGACGTCGCCGACCGCCGACCGGCATCGATAGTGGTCGTCTATCAGTAACAATGTATTATGAGAAGCTATAATAATATTCCGTAGTTCCCTCGTTAGATAATTTTCTTCAACTAGTTTTCAATCCAAAGGGACATACTACCTAGACTAATACAATTTTTTACTTAAGTATATTTCACTTTGAGAGTAAGGCTACACAGTTCATTCTAGAATACATTATTTGATGTTTTAGTCAGTCAATAATACAATAAATAAATATTGTCATTAAAAATCGTTTGAAATAATAATTAAACGGAGGTATATATGTACAATATTATGCTAGTGCTTGATATTAAGTTTACAAGTATACATTATTGAGTATGTACACAACTATAATCAAGTCTAATTTATTCATTTTATTTTATACAAATATTTATCAATCTACCACAGTTCAAGAATTTTGTAAAACTTGTTCGCGATCAATTTTCAGCATTTTCAGCATTCTAAAAGTGGAAATATAAAGTAAATTAATTACTCGTAGGTACCTACTATGTATAATAATTATGTATATAGGTTTTTTGGATTGTATGGCCTTAATTTTCACAAACATGTTTTCGTCTCATCGGTACAACTTTTAGTTTTTACTACCTAGGTATTCACTATTTAGCTAATTCTAGTTGGGCAGGTATTTACTACAATATAATATTTTATTATTGTTTAAATTGTTTTACTTCACACCTGAAAATTGCATGTTCTTACGAATCTGTATAACGTGTTTACGTTGTCGTTTTATTTATCTAAAATAGTAAATTATTTATATTTATTTTCCTTTTAGGCGTTAAGATCGGTTGAGGAAAAGATTCTATAGTTTTTGTTTTTTTTCTGGTAGTTTAAAAAAAAAACATATTTAATACAAATATTATATATTCGTGATTTTTTACAGCATAGTCAAAGTAACCAAGAAGTCGACAAATATAAAACCGATCTAACAACATTTGTTGTTAGTTTTAAAATTGTATAGAAAAACTGTTAATAATCTAAACATTTTTTTTTAAATAGAGTATAAATGTGTGAAAAATATTTTCTTATAACCATATAAACTGAACATTTCACTAAAAACCGTTTCACGTTGTACAACTCTACTCTTTCCATATTTATAAAAAAAGTACCAACATTTCACAGCACACTAAAATAGACATACTGTGACACAGACAATGTTTTTTCTGTTGTACAACTTTTGTAACTCAGAACTTTACTATAATAATAGCATTATGTGAAAATGGTAAAGGAGGTAACTCTACTGTACTATTTCGAGACAACATGCGCAAAACAATTTTTATTTTTTACAATCGAACCTCGAAGGTTATTACGTCCTCTTAAAGTAGTCTTCATATTACAATACAATATGAAATACCTGTAGGTATAGTTTTTTCGAGTGCAAATCGTGTTTCGCAAACAGAATATTAAGTAAACGTCTAGGTAGAGAAATTTAAAATGCATGTTGTAATGTTGCCTAATTTTAAAATGCCTTAAGTATAAAATTCTCTAAGGTAACATTTATAAACACTTTAAAAACATTTAAAATATAAACCTCTATTTCAGCGTGAACAAAACCTATCCGTACCTATAATACTATCGATATGCAATAAATATTTTCATACCAATGAGTCAATGACATTCTATGTAAATCATTCAGAAATACTCGATATTGTTCCTGTGTGCTCAGACGAAATACGCTGATTTTTTTCTATTTTAAAACTCGTTATGACAAATAAGTACAGTACGTTGAGCGAAATAATTGGATTGAGACAGTGCAAATGTACGTAGTGTAAGTGTCCTCTTTTTTTTATATAATAGCATCTTCATTGTTATGGATATTGAATTTATTAAACCGTCGACAACAACTGCGTTGCACTATGTTAACGTCACTAAACGTACTTGTAAACAAGTTTAACAACCCCCGAGTAAATATGTAGTATACAATTTGTTTAATATAAAAACATTGAGAATAGAAGAATTTATAAATACGAGTATTATATAATATTCATTTTTTCAACGATCAATATATTTTTTATTACAATCCATTTGCATATACTAATAAATTATTGTATTTTGACTTAATTCACTGGTTATAGTAAATAATGTGATATAAGTGATGGGTATAGTAGTAATTGTTCTTGGAGTATTCTGCATTCAGCTAATAGCAAGATTAAAAAATTACCCTGTCCTTGCAATTTTACACATTTAACTGCGCCATAATTTTATAAAAAACTTCTTCTTCCGGCATCGCCACCTACAATAAGAGTTTTGACCGCCACTATACAATTTCTCACATAATATCTCTATGCACGTATGTCGATTCCACCGAAATAAACTTATTACCTGTAAAAAATATATCGATTGCGCCGACTATTAAGTCCGCCGAAATTGTTTACCTGTTCATTTTAATTTTTTTTTTTTAATTGATAATAGATGCAATAAATTTTTCATTAACAGTTATTTCAAAATTCATTTTTGTACCGTGTTACATAAAACGCACAAAAGATTACAACCATTAGTAAATGTCTATTATTTGGAAAATGTAGACTTATAGCTCAATAAATCCCCATCTCTATTTCATACAAGCTTCTTCTAATTTATTATAGCCAGTTAGTTATTCAGCACTAATTTAGGTCTTCTAAAATATCGATTAATTTTTTCTATGGTTTACCACGATATCTCTTCTCCCAATTCTAGCGCTACTACAACATTATCATTTCTCTCCTCTTCTCGTTATATAAAATATTATAGAAATTTTAGACCCTGATATAACACCTACTGTAGTATTTTTTAGATTCTAAGTAGAACAAGGAATGTATTTATTGGTTTTACAATGATTTTAATATTTTTTTTTATCTGTGAATA